CCGTGTGCTATAAAAATTTTAGTGCTATTAATAAGAAATATATTGAAAAAGCAGTGTCAATATCATCTGAAGTACTTACAGTTGAAGCAGGTAAGATCAATGTGAATCCTAGTTTTTCAAAATGCATTATTTCAATGCGGATAAGTGTGTTAAATATGACGTCACCCATTCGGTTAACATTTTAGTCACGTTTAACGCAGATCTAAGTGTGTAAATAGTGACTACAATGTTAATCAAATGGGTGACGTCGTATTTAACACACTTATCCGCATTGAAATAATGCATTTTGGAGAACTGAGATTTACAGTGATTAAATTAATTAATTTACTGATTTCTTTTTATATGGATTACTAATACATTTTTGAAAAATATAAAAATTATCGCGAGTAAAAGTAAATACTGCAGTTAAACATTACTCACTTCAACTGAGTGTAACAACAAAATCGTGCTAGGCTACCTGTTGTACCACAAGCTAACAGGTTTTGGACATAGGGCGATTATTAATAAGGATTTTATTGTAAATTTATAATTAATGAGTAATTAACTATCTCATAAATAAACAATAAGAGACCATGATCGGACGCCAGGCAGAATCAATCTGCCAAAAATTGACAATTTAATGTACAATCAATTTTATACTGAAACGTACCTTGGCTCACCACACAGCTTCCACTTAGACTGCCAGAGGACACAATTGAAGACCACACGTCTTCGGACAATAATAATGCGACGGACCCCGTCGGATGAACCAGCTGACAATGTCGAGAAAATGGCTATGGCTGATTATTCTGCCCAAACGTCGCGAATAACATCAGCTGACACTGTCACAGCACTGCTGACTGACTAACTTCTACTCGTGTAGTCTCGTGACTGACTGATTCGTATCGGCGATCTTATACCTGGTATGATCCCGATAAATGGCCAATAAAATCTATTGATTAACGTGATTGGAGGATTTTAGTAAAATTAATTGCAATTTTTCATGCTCACAGGGTTCTTGTAGCTCACGTTCAAAGCCACAAAATTCGAAATAAATCATTAATGAATTATTTAATGATTTACTGTGAGGGATTGTTCGATGGAAAAAATCACCTCGTTACATGAGTTATAACATGCTTAAAATATTCCAACATTTTTGGAGCCTAATTGCAAATTAATAGAACCTTTCATTGTAAGAAATATTTCATCATGTTTGTTATCTCACTTGGTTTGAAGTAAAATTAATAAAATGACTAGAAGACGATAAAAATTTATTACCTTAACAATATAACATTTGAGATCGATAAAATGGTATAGAGATAATTAAGATATTATTAAAATAAAATTTTTCAGCTTCCACTCTAAATTTTTTTCCGGAATATTCATTTCTTATAATATTAACTATTCTAACTCCAAAATAAAATAATTATTAGTAGGTATAGTCCAGTCAACAATTTGATAGACAATTTTCCTTTACAGATTCGATTTCACAATCAAAACCAAGTACTTCAAATGAACATGAAGATTCATCTCATGAAGATAATACTGTTGATGAAACTTCGTAAGAAGATCCAAACTCACAGTGTTACTTTTGCCATAGAAAATATAAAAAACATAACGGGAGATCGCAATCATTGGTTACAGGGGATAAAGAATCATTAAAGGAAGCTCTTAAAAAATATGAAGACTACTTGAAAGATTCTAAAATGTACCAGGGCATTGAAGCTCTATCACAACTATGTTATCATAAAATTTGTCGGGTTAATTTATTCAATCAATTAAAATCGGATACAATTGCAATACCTCCCACTCAGTATCATGCAACGAAGCTGCTACATACAAGAGCATTCGAGGAATTTTGTATCTTTATCAAAGAAAATGTTATAGGTGAAGGATATTGTTCCTTTTCAAACAATTTAAATCAAGAGTACACTTTTTTGATGAAAAAAAAAGGCAGAAGAAGATGACTGTAGTTATGATTTAGTTTACAGTCCCCAACATTTGCAAAGAAAACGACTTGACAAATTCTGATAGAATTAAAGAAACACAAAAATTATGACAGAAATAAAAGAATGGATGTCATAAGAACGTACATATTTACAACATTTTTATTTTATAAACTAAAAACTTGAATTAATCAAAATGGTGGAAGAAAACGTAATTGCTAATCTGACACATCATCAAAACATAACGAAGACTATTCTCACCAGTGTCGGTAAAACAATGGCTCTCCAATAGACTACACTGAAAAATAAAATTTTTTATCATGGCTTCAAAAAAGAGTTCAAATAACCAAAACGTTTGGCTCTCGTCACGATCCGCATTGCTCTATTGACAAAACACATCTAGCAATATTTTGTTTCGCCATGATAATATATATACATATATATATATACTATAAAATAATAGAATGAAAACAACTATTATTAAAAGTTAGTTCATTAAAAATGACAGCTTCAAATACAGAATCAAAGATAAGATGTCTAATGTTAGCTAGTCTTAAGCCCCGTCTACAATAGGACATTAGACATTAAACTTTAGGAATAAGAAACAAAACTTAGTCCATAGGAACGGAACATTAAACACTATCGTAAACATAAGCGGAAATGTCGATGCTTTATTTAATGTATATGTGTACTTTAAATTTTATTTATGTAAAGTGGTGATTTTTAAATTTATTCAAATACCTAGTGCAAATAATGAAGAAGAAATATATATTAGTGTATTTATGTGCGAAAATTTTATAAATTAATGCATTTTTATTAATTCAAAACAATTAATATTTTTGAAAAATAATCATTTGGATAAAATTGTGTATAAGCCTGATACGTAATTTTATTTAACTGAGTGTTAATTACATAATTACATCTCTTGAAAGGTATTGTATTATTATATTTCATTATAAATATAATAAATAATTATTTTGATATTTATTAGTTTCATCTAATTTACAGAACTGCTAATTCTACTTTGTCGTTTGATCTTTTCTGGAAAAAATATTGAATGAAATGAGTTATTCAAATCATAAACATAAACGGAGTAAATATATTGAACTTGATCGAAGAAAAATTTCTAAAGATTGTTATTTACATGAATTATTAAGCCATCAAGAAAAAAAGCAACGATGGTTCAAGCTCTAGAGCATCAAATGAATATTCACAAACAATATCAGAATAAAAGGATGAAAAAAATGATAGCTTTTCATTTACAAAATTTCGTTATGAACTACACAAAGTTTTCATTCCTAATCCTTTTTTAGTTCAAGATCCAGAAGATTTTTGGGCTTTTGTTAAAAAATATCAAGCTAAGCTTGAAAAGTCTGGGAAAAATACGTCCAAAAATCCTGAATTAAATTCAATTGGTGTTCCCAAGAAGTTTCATAAAAATTATTGCATCAATCTAAAAATTAATATTTGAAAATAAACTGGCTAAATTTAAAGGAATACCTGTTTTGTATTTAGATTTTAAACAAAAAGAAAAATTTGCAAAATTGAAAAAGCTCAGAGAAAGTCAAGAAAATTTGCCTGTGGCGAAATATCGAGATGAAATAGTGGAAGCTGTAAAAAATGAAAAAGTAGTTATAATTGTTGGAGATACAGGATGTAGAAAATCAAAACAAGTGCCTCAATATTTTTTCATTCTGCCGGTTTTGGAAGAACTGCTTGTACTCAACCACGAAGAATAGCTTGTATTTCTTTAGCAAAACGATTTGTTTTTGAAGCATTAACAGAAAATTTGAATGAAATAGGATATCAAATAAGATTCGAGAAACAAAAAAATCAACAGACTAGAATTTTATTCATCACAGAAGGTTTACTTTTAAGACAAGTATCTGATGATACTGAATTATCTCAATATGATGTTGTAATTCTCGATGAAATTCATGAGCGACATTTGTATGGGGATTTATTATTAAGAATTGTGGAATGTCTGATTCATCAGAAGAGATCTAATATGAAACTGGTTCTGATGTCTGCGACAATAAATATTTAATTATTTAGCAATTATTTGGCCAAAGAAGATGTTCCAGTTATTCAAGTCCTTGGTAGGCTATATTCCATTCAGTTGATGTATCGACCTGCTGGTATTGAAGAAACAAGATTTAAAAATGATCGCTTCAATTCAAGTCATGCAAATAATAGATCAAAAATATCCTAGTAAGTAATCTTATAAAATAACTAAGAGATCAAGGTGATATAATTTTTTTCCTTCTATTTCAGGTACAGAGAAAGGTAATTTATTAATTTTCTTCAGTTGAATGATTGAAATAGCTGTAGTGGTGGATGCGGCAAAAGAATATGCTCGAAAAAAAAATAATTAGATTATTTTACCACTCTATAGTACACTATCAATTGCAGAACAAGACAAAGTTATCGATTATCCTCTAGAAGGTGTAAGAAAATGTATTGTTTCGATCAACATTGCAGAGCCATAAATCACCATTGATGTTATAAGATTTGTAGCAGACAGAGGGAAAGTCAAAGATATAAGTTATGATTCTTCATGTAAAATGCAGAGGCTCAAGGAATTTTGAATTAGTAAAGCAAGTGAAGAACAGAGGAAAGGAAGAGCAGGAAAAACAGGACCAGGTGTTTGTTACAGAATAATTCCCGAAGAAGAATATAATGCATTGAATAGATATTCAACTCCAGAGATTCAACGAGTTCCTTTAGACTCTTTTTTATTACAAATGAGAATTCGATTTTGTCTTTGAAAGAACATGGAGCTTTGACAGAAAATGAATAACTTGCTTGTATAACTTTTGTAACAATAATTAGAATTTATTTCCATACATAAACTTTATTAAATACAAATAAAGATCGTATTTGTGTAAACACCATCAAACTTTAAATGGCTCAAAATTTTTTTTCAACGTTTTTCAAGCTGTGGTATATTTTGATCTAATCTCTCAAGTTTCTCATCACGATATTATGATTTCCACAAAGTGTTGCCCCAATTTTGATCTCGATTAGAATTATTTGGATTTTCTAGAAGCTGAAAGAGAATTGTTAATAGATGATTTATTGTAATTCAGCAATATAATCTGAATTATAATAAAAGTTTTAGATTAAATCACATAATCAATTTATTTATCTCAAAGTTAACTTACTTTTAATTAATATTTCTATTGTGGTCACCATGAAGTCCTCTAAAAACGTAGTCAAGCTGCCATGGTACTTGACCGTCTTGACTCATGAACCATGTGGACAAATTGTTTCTCTGCTCGTGTGCTTCTGCAATTGATTGACGAGCGTTCGTTTGAGATAGTGGTTATATATTACTTGGTTCTGTTTCACAATCAGAATCCAAATCTATAAAACTATTTTGCACATTGTACATTCTTTGTTCATGAAATATAAGAAAATTATGAAGACTAACACATGCAGCAACAATGTGATCAGTATTTGTTAAACTCTTATGAATACTTCTTTTTAGTACTCTCCATTTACTCGATAAAATTCCAAAAGTATTTTCAATGGTTCGTCGTGCTCGAGACAAACGATAATTAAAAACTTTCTGAGTTGTAGTGAGTTCATGACCCTGATATGGTCTCATCATATGGCGTGAAATTTTGAAAGCTTCATCTCCAACAAAAAAATGGTGAGTAAACATATTAGATCCTGGTAATTTTGTTTTTTCTTTTGGCAGGTTCAATTTATCCTCTTCTAAAACTTTTCCAAATGAAGATCTTGCAAAAATACCACCATCACTTTCACTTCCATATGCACCAATATCAACAAAGGTAAATTTATATTCATGATCACACACTGCCAAGAGTACGGTACTAAATGTTTTTTTATAATTGTAGCACATGGTTCCTGATTTAGGTGGAGCAATTATTTCAATATGTTTTCCGTCAATGGCACCAATACAATTAGGCATGTTCCATTTTTGATAAAAACCATCAGAAATAGCTTTCCATTGATCACTATCTGGAGCTTTAATATATTTTGGCATTAAAACTTGGGCCAACACAACACACGTTTCATTAATAATTGAATGATGTGTTGATCTTCCAATACGATATTCGACTGCCTGAGATGATACTTCATCACCTGTAGCTAAATACCTAAAGGACATATTTTATTTGAAAAATGATTTGCAATAAGGTAGTGTCGCTGAAGATGGCCCGGCTCCTAGGATAGCCCACTTTTAATTTAAAATTTCGCGGTACCATAGACAACACTATTGTCTATGGTACTAGTAGCATAAACCCGCGAAATTTCAAATTAAAAGTGGGCTATCCTAGGAGCCGGGCCATCTTCGGCGACACTACCTTAATAAATTTTTTCTAAACTTCAACATTAAGGACGATCAAGTTGTTATGATAATTGTAATAATGCAAATATGTTTTCTGATAGAAAATCTCAAGCCAAGTATTTGTATTTGTATTTATATTTGAATACTTTTCAGAAGGTATTTTTTACAAGTCTGAAAAATATATACCTCAATGTTATTAGCAACCGATGTTCTGCTGAGATAGATTGACGACGACTATTTTTGGTCAGATATGGAGATACTTCTTCTAATAATTTATAAAATGATTGCTGAATCATTCTGGTATAATTAAAAAATTGATCAGGAAAGTTTTTTAATTCCTGAAAGAGAGTGTTGAAATATCCTAATTTTTGTCGTTGCTGATTAATGGGATGTACCTACCACTTTCTGGAACGTTTGTTTTTATTTTTTTAATATTTAAAATATGCTTGATCATCAGCATTAATAATTCACAATTTAAAAGAACAATATTTAGTTCTAAATCACGATCCATATTTTTTAAATGACAAATTTATGTTCACTTAATTATTTATTTAGCTTTTCATTGAAAAACTTCAAAGAAAAATTCTATTCAAATCTGCCAATTGTTTTTGAACAAAACAATTTTTGTGTTACATCTTTCTGTGTTCATTTCATTAAAGTTGATATCTGTAGTGAGAAATAATTATAAGAAAATGTCTGAAGAAGCGAAACAAGGAGATGAATTATTAATATCGTTAGTGAGATCATATGAGCATTTGTGGGATAAGAATAATGAAAACTATAATGATCATCAAATGAAGGAGACGTCATGGTCAGAAATAGCATCAGCTATGGATATGACTTGTAAGATTTAAAAATAAAATAGATCTACATTGATCTATTTAGATCTTTTTTTTGCCACAATTAGATCTACTTTGTTCTGTGTACATCTGTTTTGGTTACTTTAAATCTTCTGTGATTTCTGTAGATGTATTAAATTTTTTTTATCATCGAGATCAATGGAAATCTTCATAGACATACTGTAATTTGTATAGATATACAGTGATCTTACTAGATATCCATAGATTTACTTAGATCAAATTTTTTTTAGTTTTTTAAATATGAGTAGATAAAATTAGATCTAAAAAATGGCAGTTTCAAAAACTACATTTTATTTATTTAAAAATTTCAATTTTATTATAGCTCACAATTGTCAATCACGATGGAAAAGGTTGAGAGGGTATTTTTCTAAAGATAGAAAGAAAAGAGGAGACGAAGCAAGAAGTGGTAGCAAGGGAGAGGTTCGAAAGCCTTGGCCACTATATAAAGTGATAAATTTTTTAGAAGAAACAATGCACAGGAGAAGGTAAATATACTACAAACTCATGTTCACAAAATTAATTGACATTTTAAGGTGATATAGTTTATTCTAATCTAACAAATTTTTAGAGTTAAATTAATGAAAAAAATAAAACTGATTTATGTTTTTTATAGCTTTTAGAAAGTTAATTAATTGTTACAGAACGTATTCAAGTTTCAAAGAAAAAGATGACTTAGAAAATAAAAATTCAGAAGAAGAAGAAAAAGAAGAAGAAAAAAAAATCAAAGAAACAAAAAATAAATGAAGCTAATAAGTCAAGGTGTATAATAAAAGAAGAACATTCTTACAAAAAAACTAAAGGAAAATGTAATGAGTCAAGTGAAATGGTAAAAGCATTTAGTACAGTTAGTTCTTCGATCCAAAAAATAAACGAAAAAATATTAAATAAAGAGGAAAGTAGAGATGAGGCGTTATGCAAAATGATTTTAAGAGAATTACAAGAGAGTACAGGATCAAAGAAAAAGACTTTGAGAAAAAAATTATTGAAAGTTATTGTTGAAAATTTGGAATCAGATAGTGAATAAATTTATTGCGTAATTAATAATTTATATTCTTGAAAAAAATATTAACAACTTTTTAATCTAAAACTAATGATATTGAATAAAAAATTTATATATTGGTACACAAATACAATCTTTATTTGTATTTAATAAAGTTTATGTATGGAAATAAATTCTAATTATTGTTACAAAAGTTATACAAGCAAGTTATTCATTTTCTGTCAAAGCTCCATGTTCTTTCAAAGACAAAATCGAATTCTCATTTGTAATAAAAAAGAGTCTAAAGGAACTCGTTGAATCTCTGGAGTTGAATATCTATTCAATGCATTATATTAGCAGTTCTGTAAATTAGATAAAACTAATAAATATCAAAATAATTATTTATTATATTTACAATGAAATATAATAATAAAATACCTTTCAAGAGATGTAATAATGTAATTAACACTCAGTTAAATAAAATTACGTATCAGGCTTATACACAATTTTATCCAAATGATTATTTTTCAAAAATATTAATTGTTTTGAATTAATAAAAATCATTTATTCAATAAAAATTAATGATTTATTTTTTCGAATTATAAAAATGCATTAATTTATAAAATTTTCGCACATAAATACACTAATATATATTTCTTCTTCATTATTTGCACTAGGTATTTGAATAAATTTAAAAATCACCACTTTACATAAATAAAATTTAAAGTACACATATACATTAAATAAAGCATCGACATTTCCGCTTATGTTTACGATAGTGTTTAATGTTCCGTTCCTATGGACTAAGCTTTGTTTCTTATTCCTAAAGTTTAATGTCTAATGTCCTATTGTAGACGGGGCTTTTGTTCTAAACTGGAGATAAACAAACTCTCCCCTCGTTGCTATAAACAATCTAATCATCAAGCAATCGTCGTTAACTAACAAACTGTCGTTAGTCAATCCATCTATAGATGGACACACATATATTTTACAATACATATAAATCTAATCAGAGTGTCATTTGGGGACATTTCTTAAGTACAAGGTATTATTTGAAGACATTCGTATAGTTTGGGGGCAGTCCCCAAAAAAAATCATGTATCCAACGTATTATTTGAGCCACTGGTCTATATACAAGGTATTATTTGAGGGCACGACGTTGCCACGTTGTGATGAATTTCTTTTGTTTTTTGAAAAAAAAAGGTGAAAATGAAGGTAAAGGTACACTGTAATTGCATACGCTGTACTCGCAGGGTTATTGTTTTTTCTTTAACCGGAATTTCGAAAATCGAGAGGGGGATACCAGTCCCCGGTCCCTAAATAATACATTAGATGGGTTTATATATATTGTGAGGTTATTTTTTTTGATAACGCCCCATTGTTGGCTCTAGAATTATTTTGTTAAATATTTGAGGCTGATAATAGCCAATTTAGGGTGTTTTAGCAACAATTTACGAATAAAATTTAATTATTTTAAGCTCATTTGATCCGTTATAATAACGTATAGTCAATCATACATAATTTTCAAATGTTCTATTAATTATTATTGTTTTTCCCTACGCCAAAATATCTAATCATGTCCTTATTTTATAATTTTTTTAAATTTCAATTTATGTCCTATTAGTTATTATAAAGCGTTATTGTATCTTTCATGTCAAATTATGATGATCGTTATCAAGAGATACGGTAGTGTCTCGTGCGTCAAGCATAAATCGCCACCATCAACCCCTTGCGTCACGACGAGGCATTCATGTCTCTATACAAATTATAAGATGATTTTTGCAGGTTATAATTTTTACATTTAAAATTTTTTTCTTATTATAATATAAACATGGGTTGAAATTAAGAATTTGCTCGGAAAGCGATTGTTGACTTTCGATTAAGCATACTATGAAGTATTATCATTGCTTCGTTCATAATATACGAAATTGAAAAATTTTTTTTCAATTTTTTTTCGTCACACAAAGTTTTTTTTTGTTATGTTTACTGTGTCATTAAACGTACTAAATTTTTTTTCAAAAAAAAAAACCGAAGAAAATAATTCATTTTATACATTGCTGATTCGTAGATTCGAACAATTGGCGTTTAATGATTTTAGGACTTTTTAGTAATTCCATCGCTGTCATTATTTATGTTTGGCGCGCATTTTTGTACAGCCCAGAAGGAAGGGGCTGTTTTTGATAAGATTGCCATCTAGGAATTATTCAACTAACGACAGTTTGTTAGTTGACAACGATTGCTTGATGATTAGGTTGTTTATAGCAACAAGGGGAGAGTTTGTTTATCTCCAATTTCTGACTGAGACTTGAGCTAACCGGAAGTTTTTCTTGTCTTTTAGTTCTATCAATTTGATTCAATGAATGTTTTAATTCTTTTATAATTTTCATAAAGTTATTATTTCGTTATATTTTACAATACCTATCGAGTAGACATATGTATAATTCATCTTTAAAATAAGTTATTTACAACCTAAAGTTTGTTCTGTTGATTCCATATTTATTAAATTCTGATAGGATCTTATAAAACACACTCTATTAACTATAAAAATAGTTGATTTGTTGATGAATATTATTTACCAATAAGAATTCATTAATTTTCTACAGGATTTGTTCTTATGTTCTCCTTCCAAATAAAATAAAATTATTATAAGACTTTGGGATGAAGATCTAATTTTTGAGTTTCTTTTTAACTTTCATATCTTTACGAATGACAATTGTTTTACTGCTTTGAAGTATTTGTTAGAGAGCGAACATGATTTATATTTAAATTATGTAAAGTTTTTAACTCAAACAGACAAAGTTTTAAATAAATTTAATTTCAGGTGGATATTTAAACAACAAATCCATATAGACAGAAGCAAATTAAAATTTCCTTTTGTTCAATCGATTTTTTCTTTGTAGTAAGACGATAAATTCCCATAGAAAACGATAACTGGATAAGAATGAATCGGAAAATCGCCTGCTGCCAAATATCGCAAAATATTGAAAACGAGTTTTATCAGTAGGCAGTTCAGCAGTTGGCAGCAGGTGACTCAATGCCAACAAACTCATATTCATTCAGAGTAGGTTTATCCAATGACGGTAAATCGATATCCTTTAAGAATCTAAAGCATCAAGCCAAGACTAGTTGTAAAGCGTAAAAAGAAAATGGGCTTAGCAAGGGTAGGTAAGAAAGAATCAATACCGAAAGCGAACCTGAAGGCGAGATAAATAAAAGAATTTTACTACTCGTCAGAGAAAATATCCATTAAAAAAACCTTTAAGATTTATTTTATGTGAGTGACTAAGCGTCAGAGTCAAGATTGATTTCAACGTGTCAAAGAGATAGGCAACCGCAGTAAGAAAACAGAAACGGTTATTAATCAACCAACTAGCATGCCCTGCCAAGTATTTTCAAGCAGCACTACTACCCATCTATTCGAACCTTATAAAACATTTTTCTATTCAATTAAAGTGAGTAAAGAGTAATAAAGATTATCCATAATGAAAAGGAACAACTCTCTTTTTTATTTGTTGCACCATTTTCGTCCAAACCTTTTATTTACTTTACATTATTAATCATACATTCTTCCAGCTGTTGATAATATAATAGTGCTTCTCCTCACACCATAAATAGCTGACTCGCCGATGAAAGCGGATAAAACTGGTACTATGGGCGACCGAAATCCAAGCCCGCACCTGGGGTTGTAAAATCGAAAAACGATATGTAGAACCAGGTGCTTTCGGTCAATTGAGGTATGTCGTAAGGCTTTGGGTTGGATGCGTGTATTCTCGTACCTTTCTCAAGGCGCGGGAATATCACGTTATTATGCCTTGACTTGAAAGAAAGACCGTTCTGTTCCAGACACGTAACACAAGCTCCATCGTGATGGTTCCCTCGGCCACCAATTCAGTCACGATTGCAGTCAGTTGATTGATTCCAACTAATGGACGATGATTATCGGGAAACGAATACATTTCCGTTTATTTAAAAAAATTTTATTTAAAAAAAAACATACCTTAAAAAGTTTTCCTAGGATAATTTGGAAAAGAAAAGTCGAAAAACGGGAAATTTGTGTCTCATCTACACCGCCATGTTGTCTGAGTGGATAATTGATAACGTCGCAGTCTGATGTATCGTATGTATCATCGAGTTTTTCTCATCTGATTATATGGATAGTTGTCATGTTTACCCCTTCGTTGGTCGCGTCAAAATTTCTTCCAAGTTTGGTGGTACTGCGGGGAACCACCGCAATGTTAAAATTAGTGCGACGTTGCCACATTATAAACAACATTTTGGCGCTTATTTTAAATTAGTTAATTTAAATTTCCAATTAAATTTGAATAATACTAGATTAATTTATTGAAGATTTATATTAATGATAGGTAAAAATAATTTTATTAAATAAATTATCAGTACAACAATTCATATTATTTAGAAAATTCATTAATTATCTTTATAATTGTTTTTATACTTTTACAAAAACTTGCCCATATGTAATTATCATTTGAATTATGACTTTTTTTTAAATATTTAATATTAAGTAATGCAGTTAAACTTAGATTATAAATATCACAAGGTTATCATTGCACAAAACTTAATATTGCAGCTAACATTCTATTAAATCAAAAAACATCAGTAAAACTATTATTCTTTTCCAGATAGCACAGGCTTCTTTCGGCACTCCATACATACAGGAATTATATGTTCTCTGCAACTAAAATGAAGACAATCCTGGCATTGAGTTTTGGATTTTCTGTTTTTGTATGTCGGACAATAACAGCAGAGTCTAATTGTTTGATCAAAGTTGTTAACGTGACGATTTTTTGGAATGTTAATGTTAATGCCCTTTTTCCAGCCACGGTCTTGTCAAAGATTTTGTTAGAATTTGTAAAAAGTCTTTTCTAAAAGCTTTATCTAATGTATTTTGGTAATAAATTACTTGACTGTTTATACCAGCTATATTTTACAAAGTCATCTTGACACACGATAGGCTGATTTAAGTTTGTCAGCCACATCAACACCATCCTTGATAAGATTATAAAAATTAATAATCCCTGGCTTCTTTTTGGCACAGTTTTTATTAATCTCATCTTTCAAATGCATTGATGAACCCATAAGAACATTTTTATCCGCTTTTGGCACATAGGATACAACCGTTAACACATCGTGAAAGCCAAATAAACTGCTGTAGACTATTCTGTTCTTAATATTGATAAATTCTAAAGGTAACTTACGCTTATTTTTTCGTAATGTATCAACTATTGTAATTTTATGGTTATTACTTAAGTCTTTAATAAGGGAAATGGTATTGAACCAGTTGTCCATTGTAATATTTTTTCCAGAGTTGAGTACGGATTTGGCAACACGTTTAACAATATCTACAGCTTCATTCATTTATTCATTATCATCAGCTAAAACATATGATTTTATTCCGTATCTATCAGATTTGCTCGGTATATATTGTTTACAGCTGCAACGACCCTTGAAAGCTGACATCATTTCGTCTATGGTCAAATATTCATTGAATGAGTACCATTTTTCACACATTTGATTGAAATGTTCTCATAAATCTCGAATCGGAGCTAATTTGTCTTTTAATCATCGAATCTGAGTGCTCGTAGAAATAACGTGAAACGATTATATCGCATAATAAATCGAAAATATTCTGGAGCTAAGCCGTCTTTAGACCAAAGATGAGTAATGTTTACGTAGGCCATCTTCAAAGAACCAGCTGGATATAAAATTCCAAATAAAGCTCGGATTTTTTAAAAAGAAGTTGGACGGCAATCTTTTGATCTGGTATATTGAACTGAAAATTCTTCAAGTTCCATATTTGTATATTCAACTATATCTTTGACAATGTGTCGAGGAAAAAAACATTCCCAACACTCCAAATGTGTTTTACAATCTTTTGCACCCCCTTTCACGCCAGGTAGATAAGATATCGTTTTGTTGAGTTCTTGTAGGTGGCAGAGGTGCTTTCATCCATTTAGTTGTTTTATTTTTACCGATGTAGAAATCAAAAGTTTTGGAAGAACAAGTCTTAGTGTTGCAATTATTATTCACTAAATCTTGCTCATCATCATCTTTCACATTAGCTTTACTGTGTTCACTGTTAATCTCATTCTCGTTGTCATTATAACCTTGTTGATTGTCGCTGAAGTAACCTTATTGATTTTCACTGCCATTTTCTAATAGATTGCCGTTTAGTACATTTTCGTGTAGATCCAGCTCAATTTCTGACTATTTACTATCCAAACTATCATCCAGTTTATTTAAATCATCCACTTGTAACCAACAAGAAATGTCACCCATGATCTGTCTCAAATCTGCAAATACGTGTATGTATTTATATTTATATTTAATGAAAACTGATGTTAACCATCTGGAAAATCTTTTTATACATAATAAATTTATGGATGCTCACTTGCAAATATTATTCTGAGAAATTTGCAATCTAATATATGATTAATTATGCAACCTCTTGCTCGACACTACGACATATGAAAATAAACTCACGGATAACGTCATACACATATATAGTAAGACTGAGAAGAGAGTTCCTCCGTTGCTTCAATGCTTTCGGGCTCCTCACCTCTGATTATCTACCCTTTCTACCATGTTTTTCTACTGCACAAGCGTACAAGAACACATGGGGTGTTTTCCATTTAGAAAACACAAACGATTTTGTGCTTTCATCTAGTGAAAAAAATAGTTTAGCTAGGAATAAGTAGAGGGCACTATTTCAAACAGGCAAATTCAAAACAGGTTTTAATGCTGCATATGCTTGAAATGAACAACAAAGAAGAAAGTAAATTTATTATATTAAGTATTATATTAATTAATAACATTTTTTTGACAACTGAAAACTTTTTCAACAAGTATTAAATTTTAAAATTTTTCTAGATTTATGTACACAATGTTTTAAAATGGTAGCGTATTCGGGGGTTAGAAATCATATTTACTGTGTAAATAAAAGAATTCACATTACTCATGGCATGATATTTACATCTGATTCAAATGAAGACGAAACTAATGAATATGGCGATTTCACTAATGAAGATGAGGATTTTTCCAATGAAAACGATAACAACATGTATGATGAATATGAAGTGCTCGAAGATAAGAATTATTCTGATAATAATACCTGCACAGCAGCTGATAAAAATTATTGTGTATGGTCTCATAAAGCAACCCTACATCTATTAATGCTATATGAAATCCATCTTAAAGAAATAATTAATCCATTTTCCAAATTTAAAACGTAAGAAACACTTTTTGAAAAATTCAAATATATGGGGTACAATTTTTGCACTGACCAAGCTCGGTGGAAATTTAAAAGACTTATAGATAAATACAAACGTTGTGTCGATCACAACAATAAATCTGGACAAAGTCCAAAAACTTGTCCATATTACAAAGAAATAAATAGCATCTTGACATACTCAAAGACTGCCGACGAATCATACACTTTTGCCAGTGCCCTTCCAATACCATTCAAGAACATTTCAAATACTACTAATAATGTAGCAACAGATAAATTAAATATTCCTTCGACAAGTAATTCAGCAACTACAAATATTCGTAAAGCTAAGACTACAGAAGATCGTGTAATAAACAGAGCGAAGAAACCAAAACTCAACAAACGTGCAGATATTAAAAGTTTTATGGAATTTGCAGCGAATCAAGACAAAAAACGATTAGAACGAGATAAAAAGTAGTTAAAATGTAAAAAGAAAAATATTGAGTTGAAAAAAAACAGCTTTCTGTACGCGCAAAAGAGTTGAAGCAAAGATTAGAGTATGAAAAAATGGAATTTAAAAAAAAACGTCACAAGGAATTATTCGAAATTGAACGGATGAAATGTGGTTTAATGAAGCAATTGTTTAAAGATGTAACTCCGAATTCGAATCATTCTGATACAGATTGATATTAATTCAGAACTTTGATAGCAAAACAATTATTTTCTTCTATATATCTTAATAATGTTCTTTCATTTTTCTATTATAAACAAATTTTAAGTCATTGTTTTCATATATTTCTTTTAATATAAATTAGACAAAAAAGTAGGTCGGAGTTACAATCCAATATTAGTTTAAGACTTCTATTAATATAAGACTAAAAAAAAATGCATGATTCGTTACTGTTTGTTATTTTAATATATAAAACATACATATCATTAATGATAAGTACAAATTAAACTAGTTCATATAAAAATTAATAGCATTGTAAGTTACTACTAAAAAATTAAATACTTCGTTTCTTCGTTCATCATCCTTATTTTCATCATCACCTTCTTCATCTGAATCATTATCAATGTCAATAACATCATCAATATCATTTTCATTAATACAATAATTGTGAAGAATACACGCGCTCGTGATCACTTTTACTATAAAATCTATAATTTTGTATTCAGTGAAAAATTTTATCCGACGAAATCTGCCTTTTAAATACCCGAACGCTTTCTCAACGACAACTCTTGTTGACGAAACCATCCCATTAAAATTCTGATGTTGCAGTGTTAATTGTCCTGTATTCATATATGGTTTTATCAGTCACGTCAATGAAGGGTATGCTGAATCGCCGACTAAGAACGTATTATGAGGAAAAAGAAAATTTCTGTACTGGTTAGCAGAGTTATAAATTGCCGATCTTCTTAAGACACGAGCGTCATGTAACGATCCAGGCTCTCCACAATAAACAGTAATGAAGTATGCATCAGCATCAACTATAGCTTGCAAATTAATAGAGTAAAATCTTTTGCGATTGTAAAAATCTCGCGCACCGACTTTAGGTTTTGTTAATCTTACATCCGTACAATCAATCGTGCCAAGTACACCAGGCATGCCTACCATTGCTAAAAATTTATCAACATTGTTGATTACATTATTATTGATGGGCCATTTTATAAAATCATCTGCTTTTGTTAAAAGCCAATCAGCTACTCGATAAATAAGACGAAAAAATAAATATATTTATCAATATGATAAAATATATATATATTTATTATTTTCTTTAAAATGTAATTTATGTATTTTTCTAAATTAAATTTATTTTAAGTTTTCTAATTAATAAAATAATCAGAACTTCTCTTTTTTCAATTATAATGATCAATAGAATAATTTTTATTGATTAACATACATTATTCTTATTTTCACACATTTTTAAACAATTTCTTTAATTGGTCACTTCAATACGATACCTTTGTTATGTCCGAAGATATTGATCATTAATTAATTTGAAGAATTGATAAAATAGTTTGGTAGCGGCCAAAAAGGCAAAACGAGAAGATCTTGGACTAACAGGGCTTTTCTCTTCTAATATAAAACACTTAAAGAGTTTTGTTCTTCAAAGGAATTGTCGCAATAAAGTTCTATTTTACGAGAACCTACGTCTCAATAAATGGAATTAATGTGATGAAGTAAATTATTATAATACTTATCACACAGGAGTGTCGGTTTAACAATTAAGATATAGTGGGCCGCATGGGATGCGTTAAATACGGCCCGTGAAACATATAGTCTAGTAGCCGTGTGAATTTATCGTGCATTAATTATAGAATGGAAATAAAAATTTTTTGGTTATAGATTCTTGTAGAGGATGATGATGAGAGTATTTGTGCAAATTTTTATTGCTCGAAAACAATAATTACTATTGTTTATCAAGTGTCCAAATTTGGCAAATTGCATTTTTCCACCTTTCACCGCTTACGTAGCGAGAACTGTAGACATATAAAAAAAAGTTGACATCTTTTTTGTAGAGAATCGAATTCTCTACAAAAAAGTCCATGAATGCACCTGTCTATCGTGGACAGGTCACTTATTAGTAATTATAAAACTTTTTTTTACATTTTTTTAAATTAGCAGATAATAGCTTATATCTTTTTCCATTAGAAAATGCATTCTACGCAATTTTCTCGTGCGATTTGGTATATTATTAATGTTTTTTTATCAATTTTTACTCATTTTAGAGTATTTTCAAGTTTTTCAAATATTTAATTCTACACGTTGCAACAGTCATCGTTCACCTGTCCTCCTACACTAGACGGTCCCGCCCCTTTACGGTAAAAAAATTTTTTATATATATTTATATATTTTTTATATCACCGTTCTCGCTACGTAAGTGGAAAAAGGTCGAAAAATGCAATTTGCCAAATTTGGACACTTGATAAACAACAGTAATTATTCTTCCCGAGTAATAAAAATTTGCATAAATGCTCGTCTCATCATCTTCTACAAGAATCTATAACCAAAAAATTTTTATTTCCATCCTATAATTAATGCACGATAGCATAGGGCTTAAATTTACGGCTACTAGACTAATATTACTCCTTTCTAAGTGTAGCGGATAGACTTGACAATCCTTCAATTCGCTTAAACAACCCAATGACT